TGTCTATTTTGGCTTTTATTGCCATTGCTTTTGGTGTTTTAGTCATGAAGTCCTTGCCTATGCCTATGCCCTGGATGGTTTTGCCTACTTTTCTTCCAGTGTTTTTATGATGTTAGGTTTTATGTTTAAATCTTTAATCCATCTGGAGTTAACTTTAGTGTAAGGTGACAGGTAGGTGTCCAGTTTCTTCTTTCAGCAAATGCTAGCCAGTTTTCCCAACACCATTTATTAAACATGGAGTCCTTTCCCCATTGCTTGTTTTTGTCAGGTTTGTCAAAGATCTGATGGTTGTAGATTGTGGTGTTTCTTCAGGGTCTATGTTCTGTTCCATTGGTCTATGTCTCTGTTTTGATACCAGTACCATGCTGTTTTGATTACTGTAGCCTTGTAGTATAGTTTGAAGTCTCGCTGTGTGATGCCTCCGGCTTTGTTCTTTTTGCTTAGGATTGTCTTGGCTATGCGGGGTCTTTTGTGATTCCATATGAAGTTTAAAGTGGTTTTTCCCGTTCTGTGAAGAAGGTCAGTGGTAGCTTGATGGGGATAGCATTGAATCTATAGATTACTTTGAGCAGTATGGCCACTTTCACAATATTTTGAGTCTATGCTTCTTCCTAACCATGAGCATGGAATGTTTTTCCATCTGTTTGTGTCCTCTCTTATTTCATTGAGCAGTGGTTTGTAGTTCTCCTTGAAGAGGTACTTTACATCCTTTGTTAGTTGTATTCCTAGGTATTTTATTTTCTTTGTAGCAATTGTGAATGGTAGTTTGTTCTTGATTTGGCTCTCTTTAAGTCTTTTGTTGGTGTATAAGAATGCTTGTGATTTCTGCACATTGATTTTGTATCCTGAGGCTTTACTGAAGTTGCTTATCAATTTTAGAAGATTTTGGGCTGAGACAATGGGGTCTTCTAGATATACAATCATGTTATCTGCAAATAGAGACAATTTGACTTCCTCCTTTCCTAATTGAATAACGTTTATTTCTTTTTCTTGCCTGATTGCTCTGGCTAGAACTTACAATAGTATATTGAATAGGAGTGGTGGGAGAGGGTAACCTTGTCTAGTGCCTGATTTCAAAGGGAATTCTTCCACATTTTGCCCGTTCAATGGTCCCAATGATCATTTTGTCCCAATGATATTGGCTGTAGATTTGTCGTATATAGATTTTATCATTTTATGATACATTCCATCAATATCTAGTTTATTGAGAGTTTTTAGCATGAAGATCTGTTGACTTTTGTCAAAGGCCTTCTCTCCGTCTATTGAGATAATCATGTGGTTTTTGTCTTTGGTTCCGTTTAAGTGATGGATTGTTTATGGATTTGCATGTGTTGAACCATCCTTGCATCCCCCAGATGAAGCTACTTGATCGTCATGGATAAGCTTCTTGATATGCTGTTGCAATCTGTATGCCAGTATTTTATTGAAGATTTTTGTGTCCATGTTCAACATGGATATTGGCCTGAAGTTTTCTTTTTTAGTTCAGTCTCTGCCTGGTTTTGGTATCAGGATGATTTTTGTCTCATAAAATGAGTTAGGGAGGATTCCTTCCTTTTGTATTGTTTGATACAGTTTCAGAAGGAATGGAACCAGCTCCTCTATGTATATCTGGTAGAATTCGGCTGTGAACCTGCCTGGACTTAGACTTTTTTTGGTTGGTAGTCTATTGATTGCTGCCTCTACTTCAGCCCTTGTTATTGGTCTATTCAAGGTTTCAACTTGCTCCTGGTTTAGCCTTGGTGGAGTACAAGGGTCTAGAAATTGATCCTTTTCTTCCTGGTTTACTGGTTTATATGCATAGAGCTGATTGTAGTAATCTCTGATGGTAGTTGGTATTTCTGTGGGATCAGTGGTTATATCCCCTTTATCGTTTTTTATTGCATCTATTTGATTCTTCTCCTTTTTCTTTTTTATTAATCTGGCTAGTGGTCTATTTTGTTGATCTTTTTAAAAAAGCAGCTCCTGGATTAACTGAATTTTTTCAAGGTTTCTTTGTATCTATCTCCTTCAGTTTTGCTCTGATCTTAGTTATTTCTTGTTTTCTGCTAGCTTTTGAGTTTTTTTGATCTTCCTCCTCTAGCTGTTTCAATTTTGATGATAGGGTGTCCATTTTAGATCTTTCCTTGTTTCTCATGTGGGCATTTATTGCTATAAATTTCCCTCTCGACACTGTTTTAAAGGTGTCCTAGAGATTCTGATAAGTTGTATCTTCATTCTAATTGGTTTCAAAGAACATCTTTCTTTCCTCCTTCATTTCATTGTCTATCCAGTCAACACTCAGAACCAAGTTGTTCAGTTTCCCAGTGGTTGTGTGGGTTTGAATGTGTTTCTTAATCCTTAGTTCTAGTCTCATTGTGCTGTGGTCTGATAGGCAGTTTGTTATGATTTCCATTCTTGTGCATTTGCTGAGGAGCCATTTGCTGCCAATGATGTGGTGAATTTTAGAGTAAGTACAATGTGGTGGTGAGAAAAATGTATATTCTGTGGATTTGGGGTGGAGAGTTCTGTATATGTCTATTAGATCCGCTTGGTCCAGCTCTGCATTCAAGTCCTGGATATTCTTGTTAATTTTCTGTCTTGTTGATCTGTCTAATATTGACAGTGGAGTTTTGAAGACTCCCACTATTATGGTGTGGGAATCTAAATCTCGTTTTAGGTCATTAAGAACATGCTTTATGTATCTGGGTGCTCCTATGTTGGGTGTGTAAATATTTAGGATACTTAGCTCTTTTTGTTGGATTGATCCTTTCACCATTATGTAGTGTCCTTTGTCTCTTTTGATCTCTGTTGGTTTGAAGTCCATTTTATCGGAGACTAGGATTCTAAGACCTGCTTTTTTTTGGTTCTCCATTTGCTTGGTAAATCTTCTTCCATCCCTTTATTTTGAGTCTATGTGTGCCTTTGTATATGAGCTGGGTTTCCTGAATACAGCACACAAATGGGTTTTGCCTTTTTATCGAGTTTGCCAGTCTGTGTCTTTCGATTGGGGTGTTTAGGCCATTTACATTCAATGTTACTATTATGTGTGAATTTGATCTTGCCATTTTGTTACTGGTTGGTTTTCTTTCCCATTAGTTGACTCATTTTCTTCATTGCATTTTTGGTCTTTGCCAACTGGTTTGCTTTTGCAGTGACTGGTACTTGTTCCTTTCCGTGCTTAGTGTTTCTTTCAGGAGCTCTTGTAGGGCAGGTCTGGTGGTGAGAAAATCTCTCAATAATTGCTTGTCCATAAAGGATTTTATTTCTCCTTCACTTCTGAAGCTTAGTTTGGCTGGATATGAGATTCTGGGTTGAGAGTTCCTTTTTTTAAGGATGTTGAATATTGGCCCCCACTCTTTTCTGGCTTGTAGGGTTTCTGCCAAGAGATCAGCTGTGAGTCTGATTGGCTTCCCTCTGTGGGTGATCTGACCTTTCTCTCTGGCTAACCTTAGCATTTTTTCCTTCATTTCAACCCTGGTGAATCTGATGATTATGTGCCTTGGGGTTACTCTTCTTGAGGAGTATCTTTGTGGAGTTCTCTGTATTTCTTGAATTCGAAATTTGGACTAACTTGCTAGGCTTGGGGAGTTCTCCTGGGTAATATCCTGGAGCATGTTTTCCAGCTTGGATTCGTTCTCCCCATCATATTCAGGTACACCAACGAAGCATAGATTAGGTCTTTTCACATAATCCCATATTTCTTGGAGGCTTTGTTTATTTCTTTTCAGTCTTTTTTCTCTCTTGTATTGCCTTCTCTTTTTATTTCATTGAGTTGATCTTCAATGTCTGATATCCTTTCTTCTGCTTGATTGATTTGGCTATTAAAACTTGTGTTTGCTTCACGTAGTTCTCATGCTGTGTTTTTCAACTCCATCAAGTCATTTATGTTCTTCTCTAAGCTGATTATTCTAGTTAGCATTTTGTCTAACCTTTTTTCAAGGTTTTTGGTTTCTTTGCATTGAGTTAGAACATGTTCCTTTAGCTCAGAAAAGTTTGTTATTATCCATCTTCTGAAGCCTGTTTCTGTCAATTTGCCACACTTCTTCTCAGTCATGATGTGATCCTGTGTTGTTGAGGAGTTGTGATCCCTTAAAGGAGAAGAGGTATTCTGGTCTTTGATGGTTTCATCTTTTTTGCAGTGTTTTTTCCCCATCTTTGTGGGTTTGCCTGTCTGTGTTGTCAGGGAGCTGCTTGATTGATACTGTTTTTACAAAGGGGAGAGAATGATATGACTCCCAGTATTACAAGGGGTGTACAAACCCACCATGATGTTATTTCTAATATCCAGTGAAGGAGAGGATGGTATTACTCCCAATATCACAAGGGTGTACACCCTTCAGGTGACATTGTTTCTAATATTCAGGGGGGAAGGTGATATTTTATCCCCATATATTGTTTCTAATAAGCAGGGTGGGAGAGTATGATATTACTCCAAATATCACAGAGTGGTTACCTCCCCCTGTGATATTGTTCCTAACATCCAGGAGGAAAGAGAATGATATTACTCCCAATATCACAGGAGATGTACATTTCCCCATTGCTATTGTTTCTAATATTCAGGGGAAAGAGAATGATATCACTCCCAATATGAAAGGGCTGTGCACCCCCTATGATATTGTTTTTAATATCTAGGGAAGGACAAGCTTATATTACTCTCGAAATCGCATGGGGTGTACACACTTTCTGTGATGTTGTTTCTAATATCCAGGTCAGGAAAGAATGATATTACTTCCAATATCACAAGGGGTGTATAACCCCACCTGTGATATTGTTCCTTATACCCATAGGGAGAGAAAATGATATTACTCCCAACATCGCAGGGAGTGTACACCCTTCTTGTGATATTGTTCCTAATATCCAGGGTGGGGAGTGGATTATATTACTCTCAATATCACAAAGGATGCACAACTTTCCTGTGATACCATTTCTAATATCTAGGGGTGGAGAAAATGATATTATTTTCAATATTGCAGGGGGTGCATATCCTTCCTGTGATATTGTTTCTTACATCCAGAGGGAGATAAAATGATATTGTTCCCAATATTACAGGGGGTAAACACCATCCCTGTGATATTGTTACTAACATTTAGAGGGGGAGACATTATTACTCCCAATATTGCATGATGCACAACCGCCCTGTGATACTATTTCTAATATCTGGGGGGGAGATAATGATAATACTTTCAATATTACAGGGGGTGTATAACCCCACCCCCTGTCATAGTTACTTATATCCAAGGGGAAAAAGATGATATTATTCTGAATATCATAGTACACCACCCCTGTGATATTGTTTTTAATATCTGGAGGCAGAGAAGATGATATTACTGCCAATATCACAGCAAGTGTATAGTTTCTAATATCCTGGGGGGAAGAGAATATTACTGCCAGTATTGCAGGGGACGTACACCCCACCTGTGATATTCTTCCTAATATCTAAGGCAGAATAGGATTATGTTACCCCAAATATCGCAAGGGGTGTAAACCCCCATGAGACATTCTTTGTAATAACCAGGAGGGAGAGGATGATATTACTCCCCACATTGCAGAAAGTGTGCACCCTCCCTGTGATATTGTTTCTAATATCCAGGTAGGGAGAGGATGATATTACTCCTAGTATTGCAGAACCTGGGCTGGGCGCGGTGGCTCATACCTGTAATCCCAGCACTTTGGGAGACCAAGACAGGCGGATCACTTGAGGTCAGGAGTTCCAGACCGGCCTGATCAATATGGAGAAACCCTATCTCTACTAAAAATACAAAAAAATTAGCTGGGCGTGGTGGTGCATACCTGTAATCCCAGCTAGTTGGGAGGCCGAAGCAGGAGAATCGCTTGAACCCAGGAGGTGGAGGTTGCAGTGAGCCGAGATCACCCCATTGCACTCCAGCCTGAGCAACAAGAGTGTAACTCTATCTCAGAAAAAAAAAATGACTCTGACCCAACGATATGTCACAATACACACATGAGAAATAATTTGAGCAAAAGTTTTAACACCTGGGTACTAGGCCGAGTGATATCACACAATCTCCTCATCTTTGAGGGTGACATCTTTATCTGTTAGCTTGGTGTGCATATGAGAGTCACAGTGTCACATTTGGGCTGGGCTATCATATGACACCCTCTACAACGTCTGAGGGCTTTATACAGTATGCATGACAGTTGCATGCTGCTCTGAGGCCCACATGCTCATATGGACTCACAATCCTATATATTGCCTTAAACCCTAGTATAATAGTCCACATCTCTCATTTAAGCTGAGTTCAGGAGTGAGGCCCATTTTTATGCCTGTGAGCTGGTTGCAAAAATGGGTCACAATGGCACTAGTGGCCAGATCTACATAGGAGCATCATAATTCCATCTTTATACTTCTTTCATTTGTTAGCCTCAGTACCTCAAGAGTGGACTTTTAAATGTGGGATGGTGACAACTTTTACTTTCACCTGGGTGTGTAATTGAGAGTCATAATCTTAACTTTTTGATGGGCCTTTTTATGAAACTCTGTACCACCCAAGGAATTTATACAATATGAGTTTGTGTTGTAAACTTCTGTGAGCTTTGTACAAATATGCAACCCAGGATTTTACCTATTGCCCGAAGCTTAGGGATGAGAGGCAAAATATCTTCTATTGCCTGAATCCCAATATAAGTTTGATCATCATGCCTGTGAACTAAAGTAAGGTATATGTCATAATCCCATTTGTGGGCAAAAAATTATAGCAAAGATTAACATCAGTTAGGTGATGTGGCAAGCAAAATGTCACAATGCCATCTCTAAGCAGAACCTAGAAAGGAGGTTCACATTAACTGGGTGCTGAACCCAGCAATATGACAAAATTGCACAGGTGAAAAAACTTAGACAAGAGATGAGAGTCAAAACACCCACAGAATGGGCCAAAAATATGTCAAAATACTCTCTGTAGCTAGGGCACAGGCAGGACAGTAGCATCATCAGGGTGCTGGGCCCACAAGTATGCAATAATTCCCTCTTTATTCAAGACTCAGGCAGAAGATTAACATCATCTGGCTCCAAGAGATCAAAAAAAGTTTTGTAGGCATGGTTCAGAAAAAAAGTAGTCACATGACCTAAACGCTGGGCTCAGTAGTATGTTAAAATCCCACCATTGTAAAGGCCCAGGCAGGGGAAGAGAGTCATATCACTTAGGTCATGGTCTCAGAGATATGCCCCAATGTCCCCAGTCAGCTGGACTCAGGTAGAAAAGGAGGGTTGTATCATCTAGATGTTTCTTTAGGTATATGTTTAATGTCACAATATAACACATGGGCAGAAGCCAGGCAGAAGGGCCACATCACCTGGATGCTAGGTCCTCAGATATGTTGCAAGGCTCCCTTATGACAGAACCAAGGTGAAAGAGTTACATCAGCTTGGTGCAGGTTTAACTTTGTCACCGTACATCAGCTTGGTGCAGGTTTAACTTTATGTCACAGTGCTCTATGTGAGTGAAGCCCAAGCATTAAGTCACATCACCTAGATTGTAGGCCTAGAGACATGTCACAATTCCCTCCTTGAAACATAGACCTGGAAAAAGATTACCATCACCTGTGTGCCTGGCTTAGCCATATGTCACTTCCACACCCTGTGTTCAGGGCCTATTCCACAGAGGAGAGTTACATCACCTAAGTGGTGGACATAGTGATATGTCACAGGGATGTCTGCGGGCATGGCCCAGGCAAGAATGTAATATCACCTGCGTGTTTGATCCAGTGAAATGTCACAATTCTTACTGATAAAAGGGCCAAGGCAGGAGGGTCACATCACCTAGAGGTTGGCCCAGGTCGAGATTACAATTCCATATGTGAGCTGGAACCAATCTGGAGCGGCAAATCACACACATGCTCAGCAAAGATTTGTATCACCATCACAATGACAGAATATTCCGGAAATGAGATTTACAATACCACACCTGTCCTGTTTTCATGTGTGACAGTTGGTTTTATATATGTGAGATGGTGAGTCTTTATGTCAGCTGGGTGTGCATATGAGACTCACAATTTCACCTTTCTGTTGGGTTCTGTTATGACACTCTCTGTACAAGACAAGGCTTTTATAAAATATCTGAGGCTCTTATAATCTTCTATAACCTCTTAACCAGAAAGAGATCTAAGACATCACTCGTGTTTGCAAAGCAAGTTACAAGAGGCAAAGTTAGTCTTAGTTGTGGGGTCCACATATGAGAGTCATTATCATGGCTGTAAGCTGTGCCTAGGTATATCTCAAATTTTACTCTGTGGTAATGAAACAGGCATGACAGCCATATATCCTAAATGCTGAAGCAGAAATATTCTAATATTCTCCTCGTAGGCAAGTTTCTGGCAGAGAAGTTGCATAACTTGAAGGCTTCGCCCACATGTATGGCACAATGTCCCCTGTGGGCAGTGTCCAGGCAGAAGAGGAGAGTCATATCACCTAAATGATATGCCCAGAAATATGTCAAAATCCCTCCTGTTGAAAGGGCTAGCAAGGGAGTCATATCATTTCTGATTATAGTCATTTTAACTGGAGTGGTTTGGTGTTTTATTGTTGATTTGCATTTTTGTAATAATTAATGTTGAGCATCTTTGCATGTACTTGGCCACTTGTATGTCTTTTTTGGATAAATGTCACTTAAAGTCTCTTGCCTATTACTAAATTCTTATTAAGTTTGTTATACATTCTGTTTATCCCTTGTCATATGTATATTTTGCAAATATATTTTCCCACACTGTAAGTTGTCTCTTCACTCCATTATTTTTGCCATGTAATTTTTTTTTTTTTAGATTCTGGTAGTTTCACTTGTCTGCTTTTGCTTTTGTTGCCTGCGCTTTTGAGGTCTTATTTAATATTTATTTTCCTGTCCTATTTGATAAAGAATTTCTCTGTTTTATTGAAATAGTTTTATAAGTTTGAGTTTTACATTTAAATCTTCTATTTATTTTTAATTAAGTTGTTTTAATATGGTAATAAGTAGGCACCTAGCTGTATTCCTCTGCATTCAAATAATCAGTTTTCCTAGCACTATTCATTTAAAAGATTGTCTTTTAAAAAAAAATGTGTGTTCTAAACAACTTAAGAATTACTTGGCTATAAGTTTACAAATTTATTACTGGGATCATTGGATACTTCAGTCTATATGTCTGTTTTCTATGTGAGTATCATGCAGTTTTGCTTGTTATAGCTTTGTGGTATATTTTGAAGTCAGGTAGTTGGATGCTTTCAGCTTTGTTTTTTTTTTACAGGTTTATTTTGGCTATTTGGGGTGATTTTTTGGTTCCCTATAAATTTTAGGACTGTTTTTTCTATTTCTGTGAAAAAAGTGTTTTTGTAGACTTTACATTGACTCTGTAGATTGCCTTGAGTAGCATAGCCATTTTACCAATATTTTTTATAACTCAAGAACAAAAAATATCTCAAATATTTTATATTTTTTAGTATTTTAATCAATGTTTGATAATTTACAGTGTAGAGAGTATTTATCTTTTTAATTAAGTTTACTGCTAGATACCTTTATTTTTTGTTATAGATGCAGAAAAAGTATTTACAAAAATTTAACATGCCTTTGTGCTTAAAACAACTGATATGCCATAATGAAACATAAACATAAATCCTTGAAACATAAACCTGGGAAAAGAGTACCATCAGGTATAGATGATATATAACTCAACACAGTTAAGGCAAAATATGACAAACCAATAGCTGATATCACACTGAACAACAAAAAAAGAAAGCTTTTTATTAAGATCTGAAACAAGACAATGATGTCTCCTTTAACCACTTTTATTCAACAGAGTACTGGAAGTCCCAGCCAGATGATTTATGCAAGAGAAACAAAGACATCCAAATAAAAAGGAGAAAGTCAAATTATCTCTGTTTGCAGATCACATAAATGTCTCGATAGCAAAACTTAAATACTACACTAAAAATCTTGAGAATTAATAAAGAAATTCAATAAAGTGGCAGAATATCAAATTAACATACGAAAATTAGGAGTATTTTTACATGCCAAGAATAAGCTATCTGAAAAAGAAATTCAAGAAAAAATTATAACAGCTTTAAAAAGTATGTCTCACTTCATTTTAAGTTTACGCTTGTGGTAAGATTTAACTTTATTTTTTATCATTTGAACATTCGGTATTCTCCAGCCCATTTGTTAAAGAGACTGTTCTTTTCTCATTTTGAGTGATGGAGACAGAAGACAGTCAAGGGCCCTGGGCAAAACTCCGCCTTCAAGTCTAAAACAGCCTGAAGGCTGAAAAACTAGACTGCTGGTTTCAGAAGCAGCTCCACCTTTCCTGTTTCTTTCTGAATAATGCCCACCTGTGCACTTGGAAAAGGAGGTGGAGCCATGGAAATTTACACATTTTGAGCCTGGACTCTTCAGTTGCTATGTGGTGACCTGGTGTTCATTAATCTGTGAGGTAGGGGCCTGTTAAAAGAGTCACTCTCACTTTGCTTTTTTTTTTCTTTTTGCCCAATAAACTTTACTCATCACTATTCAGTATGTCTATTAGCCTATTCATTCCTGGTCATGTGACAAGATCCTGCTTTTAGCTGAATGGAGAAAGTTCTATAACATTTCAGTGTCTAGATGTGGAGCTTGAGGAAGGGTAAAATGTAAACCAAAAAATTATTTTCTTTTGTTTGTAAGCCTTTTCATCCTTGGACCTCTCCCAAGGGTAGAGGAAACTGTGTACCACCCCACCCCAACAGCCTCAGGGACATATGGGATGGACAGGAGAATGGTGGCTCCTCATCCCCATCTCCTCTGGGCTGGAAAATGTCAGACATTCATGGTGCCTTCACCTTCACTAGCCAAGGGATCAAGTCTCATCCAACAACAATTAAGTTTTTCTCTCTGTTGAAGAAACCCATTTGCATAAGAATATTTTCTTCCCTGCCCTACACATAAGCCTTTTAAAAAATTTTTCTCATTCTGTCAGCAGTTTACTTTTAAGCAAAAGAATTTTTTTTCTTAGAAAATGTTTTGCTGGGCTAGGACCCCAACAATCACTGCCTATATTTTTTTTTGTAGAGTTTTAATTGTGAAAGTGTATTTGTGAGGTTGGTCTTGAGCTGTGGCCAGTCTGGCATGCTTTGTATGTCATTCTGTATGATTGGTAGAAAATTTTGCAGCATACCTCCATCTTGTTTAGTTTTTAGGAGCATGACCTGTAACCACATGGCAATGTTTTGTTTTGGCCTCTGCCATCTTACAATGGTGTTGTAGGTCTAATCCTGGCTTAGGGAATGAGTCCCTTCAGATTTCATGTCAGCATGTAACCGTTGCCATTTGCTGATTCTCTTACCCTTCACAAACTGACTTTTAAGTTTTTTTTCCTCTGAGAACCTGATAAGTTATCTTTGGTAAAGTTTGAAAGCCAAAAATATTGGCTGCTTGATACTGCTAGAGTCAGGTAATACAGAATTTAAAAGGATTTTCTTAAAGAATGCTCAACTTAATTAAAAGTGGATATCCAACTTATAGGAATATTTAAAAGACCTTTATGTTTTTCTCTTCTGGGATCTTCTTTTGCTGGGAAAAGTTTTTTCTCAGCCAACTGAGTTTTTTTGTTTCATATTGTCTTGTCACTCTAATGCATGCATGAAAGGCCAGTAATTCAATCAAGAAATGGCAAATAAAAAAATCTTATGGCTACTGGGTTTTCTTCTGCCCGCGTAATTATATAAGTATTGTGTGTGAGATGTCTATAAAAAATGAGCTCTAAAAAATTTAAAGAATGATAAGCACTTGGATAAAATACTTTCTGAAGGGAAGATAAAAGCTGTTTTAGTTCACATAGCTTTCATCTTTCAGAAATAAAAACAGCTTTAAAGATAACTGGTAAAACACAAATGTCTTCAATATATGAGTACGTGGATTAAATCATGCAGGTCAGATACTAGGTTTGCTAAATGTTTTAAGGTTACAAACTGCTTTTTGTTTGTTTTTGAGAACAGTTCTACTTTGCTTCACAATTGGTAAGGCCTGAGGACATATGGAATGAACCACACCCTCAATTATGCTGAAAGGAGTCAAACCCTTGGCTGCACCTAGCACATAATTAAAACTTACCTGGTTTGACTTTAAAGTTAAAATTGCTAGAAGTTACCATTATAACATGTAATTGAAGCCACTGGAAGTAGATTTACATATGAGGTGTGTAAGGAGTAAAATGTGTTTTTAATAAAACATTATAAGAAGGTATGGAAATATACATTCTTGCCTAGGGTCAAACAGTTTTTTTGAATTAGATAAGATAAAGCTAAAAGTTTAAATAAGTTGTGGAAAGACTGTAAAAATAAATCTTGCCAAAGAAATTCTGTGTGTGAACATTAATTACATTCAAAAAGGTATTATATGGATCTTTTTTGTAAATCGAGCACTGAAATAAAAACACAAGATATTTGTAAGGCACAAATGTGTTCTTTAGCAAAATTAGTAAATTATAAAAGGTTTTTGCTTTCTACATTTCTGAACAATCATTTTGGTTAAATAAGTAATTTATGGTAATCTGAAACTTTATAATATCAAGTGTTTTAAACCCCTAATATGTAACATTCTTCTCAAAATCAAACTTTAGTTACAAAATTATCTTTCCTAATTTCTGGCTTTTGGATGCTAAAGAGGACTCTTGAAGTATCCACAAAAAAGATAAACAGAATTTTATCACGTTTAGTTATATGGAGTTGCCAAAATGGTGTTCACTATTCCTTAGATATTTTGGTGAATAATATTAACACATGTTCCAAAATTATATGAAATTTCTAAAATTCTAATGTCTGAAGTATATGCTTTCAACCACAATTAGGGTTGTTAAGTTATTGTAAACCACAGAAATAACCAAACATTTTTGTCAATCTTGTTTCTGACTGTAACTACCTTGAACATTTTATAAACAGGCAATTGCTGTCTTGTTTTGACTTTTTTCAAATAATGGCTTTTATTCAGTCGTAGAACTTTAACAAGTACTCTCAAATTCAGGCTTCTGATAGCTTTGGAGCTTGTGACATTGGAATAGAGGAAAAACATACAGGACTCATGAAGATCTAAAATGTTCACGTGTGATATTGTGCTGTAGCTGGCCTAGAGTTAGAGCCTGAACAACATCATTTTATAAAAGAAAAAGCTGTTTTTAAAATAAGTTGCAACGGCTGCCCCATTCTCCTCACAATAACTGCTGGCCTTGGCTTCTGTAGATAGAACTGCTAATTTGTTCTGCAAACTATGTAAAGCTGCTTACCTTTTCTTATCAGTAACTGCCAGAATTGCTAGCCTTTGCTTACTGGCAATTGCCAGACTAAGCAGCCCAAGCTAGTTCCATCCTGGCTCCTGTGGCTTGTAATAAGTAACTAAGGTCTGTGATTTCCACCTTAACCAGATAATGTGTAAACAAATGTTTATCTTGACTTCTGTAAACCACTTAAGTAACAAACAGAATGACAAAAGTCCCCATCCCTTGGAATGTCTGGAGACCCCCACCCTCATCTCTGCCCAGGAGGTAATTTACAGAATCCACTAGCCCTCGGAATGTCTGAAGCCTTTTCATCCCCATCCCCGCCCCTCACCCCCACTCCCAAGGTGGTTTTTTGGGTATAAAAAATCGTGGCACCCTCCTGTTGCCACCACAGGTTGGAGAAACGTGAGTCCTCTGTGGTCGCCGGCATAATAAATGACCCTGCAATCTGGCATACTTTTGTCTTGTGATAACTTTCTACACTCGGTCAAATACAACATTACAAGCAAAAGTCAGAAAGATTACTTCAGTTTTCTATTAGTCCAGTGCATTCAGTTAATTCGTTTTATTTGATATTCATGTGCTATACTGGACCGAGCATAGAAATTAACACCAAGACAAAAGTATGCCAGATTTCAGGGTCATTTATTATGCCAGCGGCCACGGAGGACTCACGTCTCTCCAACCTGTGGTGTCGAAAGGAGGGTGCCAAGACTTTTTATACCCGAAAAACCACCTTGGGAGTGGGGGTGAGGGGCAGGGATGGGGATGAAAAGGCTTCAGACATTCCGAGGGCTAGTGGATTCTGTAAATCACCTCCTGGGCAGAGATGAGGGTGGGGGTCTCCGGACATTCCAAGGGCTAGAGGACATGTCACTTCGATTGTTACCTAAGTGGCTTAAAGAAGTTAGTTTATACATTGGATACTGGTGGAAGTCACAGATCTTAATTACTTATTACAAGTCACAGAAGACAGGATGGAATTAGCTTGGGCTGCTTATTTTAGTTATTACTGGTAAGCAAAGGCTAGCAATTCTGGCAGTTACTGATAAGAAAAGGTAAACAGCTTTACATAGTTTTGAAGAACAAACTGGCAGTTCTATTTACAGAGGCCAAGGACAGTAGTTATTGTGAGGAGAATGGGGCAGCCATTTCAACTTATCTAAAAACAGTTTTGCATTTTATAAAATAGTTTTGCTCTGGTTCTGGCTCTAGGCCAGCACAATATCACAGTAACATTACTGATTCTTGTAATCAGAAATTACCAGAATAAAGGAAACTTATTTTTGAGTTATTTACAATCTTTAATATTTGAGTAAGGTGTACTCCTGTGAATAAAATTTGGAGCATGTTTGTCTCTCTCTGCCTGGCTTCTCCACAATTTGAAAAACAGTTATGCGTATTCTTATCTTATGGTAATACAGTTGTTTGCATCTGTGCAATAGTAATCCTTTTTTTTTTTTTTTTTTTTTTTTTTTTTGCAACAGAACACAGTTGGAGAAGCTGGTTGTTTTACCAAGGCATTGACTGAAATGGTATGCTTCCCTTTAAGGAGTCAAGCTCAACTTGCAGAGCCAATCAATGCCCCTTGGAAAAACTGGCTTCATAGCTCATCTACACAGTTGTTGTGCCGGGTTTCTGATCTGTGGTAAGTAAAGAATAACACTTTCTGACAGCCCCACGAGCTCCAAGATTATCTTGGGATCATAAGAGGAGAGAATGCCCAACTTACAAGTATTTGATGGTACAAACCCATGGCTGGACTTAACTTGAGAAAGTTCCACCTGAAATTTCTTGTGGAACAGAGTTCCTTCAAAGCCAATGAAAAAGACCTATGTAGAAATAATTATTCTTGCTGTACTCTATGCAGGTAATCAGGCCATGTAAGACTCAAGTTTCTTTCACAAACAAGTCAGTCCTATCATGATTTGTTTTTAACGAAAAAGGAGACTGGATAGGAAAGATTATGTCTCAAAACTTACCATACATTTGTCATTAATTTCCAAACTCATTAGAGTTTTTGCCTACATTTTAGACCAACCCTGCTTATTCCTGTAAACCAACTAGCAGTCTTTAACCGCAGCTCGGAAGAAATAAAAAGAGAAGGGTAATGTAAAAATGTAGATTAATATTCTAGTTCTGGACAATTATCTTGCAAAGTGATGGGAATAAGGTGCCCACCCAAATCTTAGCAAGCATAACTATAGCCCCTAGTTATCTAGGTGGGTCACAGACATTCTTTTCCCTCCCTTGTGTAAAGAGGACTCACTTCCACAGCTTCACCTTAGCATTCAGCTCATGATAAGAAGTCCATGTAATCCCCTGAGACACATTTTTGTCCCAACCCCAATTCCAAGCTTTAGGTTGAAGTCCTAGAAAAGAATACTGAATCTGAGAAATCCAGAGGCTGAGGATGGCAGATCACGAGGTCTAGAAATTGTGACCATCCTGGCCAACATGGTGAAATCCCATCTCCACAAAAAAAGAAAACACGCCATATGTAATCACAAATATTATCTATTATGCTATTGCTGGATGAAATGTTTTGTTGACTATCCTTTTATTTCTCTGTATATTTGCCATTCTTTTTTATTTGCACTCATTTTTTAATTTCTAGTTTTTTTTCTTATTAAATTCTCATGTCAAATGTTCTCCAATTTGTATTGTTTGTAACTTTTTCCATTTATATCCCTTCATATTTTTTCTCCACTTTTATTTTCTCCTTATTCTTAAATTTTTAACTTTAGTGTAAATTATTTCAGTTTATTTCTTAATTTTACTGTATTATCTTCATTTATTTTTACTGATATTAATTACATTTCTCCTTAGTTTTCTATTTTCAGTTTATCCTTATTTTTCAATTACTTTTTTAAATTTTATTTTTTTTTACTTTATTTTTCTATATTTTGTTTAGTAAAACAGAAGAGATGAGCAATTTTAAATTGGCCCAGCCACAGTGATCAAGACTCTTGCTTGTTGAGGCTCTCTGGCAGCCACTCTAACCCAAGTAGTCGCCAATCCAGGGTATTGTCAGGGCCTCCTAGTAGGGCTGCTAAGATCCCTGGGCAGATATTTCATTGTTACAGGCCCATCTAGCATTCAGTGTCATGGGCCATTTCTGCTGCTTTCAGAAGGCCCCTGAAAGCCTCAGTGTTGCTCGGCCAAGGTCCTGACTACCTCTTTGTGTCCCGATGGATTCCCCACACATAATCCAGGACACCGACTCTTCTTTCCCAGGGCAAACTCCACAACCACTTCACTCCATCAGGGCACGTCTGGACAATATGTGTCTTTTTGTTGTTAAAACAGAAAAAATACTCATTTTTTAGTGTCTTGCTGTGTCACCTAGGCTGCAGTGCAATGGCACAATATCAGCTCACTGCAACCTCTGGCTCCTAGGTTCAAGTCATTCTCCTGCCTCAGCCTCCCAAGTAGCTGGAATTACAGGTACCCGCCACCACTTGCAGCCTTTTTTCCCCCATTTTTAGTACAAACAGGGTTTCATCATGTTGTCCAGCCTGGTTTTGAACTCCTGACCTCAAGCGATTTGCCCGTCTCAGCCTTCCAAAGTGCTGGGACTACAGGTGTGAGCCACCATGTGAGGCCAAAAAGTATGTATGTTTTTAAACTTGACATATAATTGTGAAAATGTCAGTTTTATAGGTATACATGCAAATATGTGCAAAAGTGCTAATGAGATGAACATTTCTCCACTGTTTAATGATTTCATGGAGTTGCTATTTTCCTTTTCCAGTCTTTATCAATGTTCAATGGGAAAATCCTCAGTGAAGACACCTCAGTATGATAGACAAAATGTTGTACAATCAATCATTAATAGATGCCCAGTGAAATAACTTCAGATTTTAATTTGGAGTTCTCACAGCTAGGATTAAAAACTCTTGGTGGTAAACTCACATGATGAGGAGCTATAGTATGTTGTCCTCTTCTCCACATTTGTCTACCACCACAGTTGTTTGAACTTGCCGAGGGAAAAAGTGGGAAATTGATTTCCTCAGACCTACTCATCTCCCTTTCATAGGTTTTCTGGTTATGCATTGTCCAGTTTGCTTAGAAGCTCACGATCACAGAGGTCATATTTGTCAAGAGAAAGCTTTGTTGCACCAGGATTAAGTGAAGATGTTTACCTCCCAGGGCCCCTGGTTTCTCCAGAGGCAGGATGGAGCTCAAAACCTATTACTGAAGCCAGAAAGTGATGACAAAAGTTGAGGGCTGCACACAGGAGAGGAATGCTACCTTTTGCTTTCCAAGTGGTCACCACCTATTCTGGCATTCATCTTGCTTCAGAAAACAATGTATTTCTTTTTCATCTTTCCTAGTATTTCACTGATTGTACATCTAAGGAAGAGGCCTGGATGACGAGTGGTAAAGAGAACAACTGCATCTTTGTATAGCTAATGCCTTGGTGAGTTTTGAAGTATACTGAGCAGAACCTGAAATCCTTCCTCACTATGGGGTAAGTTGTGTCAAATTCAATTTCCAAGAAAATGGTACCAGGTTAAAGATGTCAAAAACAGACTAAGAACCAGTGAACGAGATAGGGAGTTCTACTGGGGACTTACGGAAGGGAGAAAGTCAGGTGTCAGTGGGGTTAGCAGGATAACCACGTCCACTTGCAAAAAGCATGCAATTTGTACAGCATTTAATTTAGCACGTTTTCTGAACCTTTCACCTGTCAGCTTTCCTTTAATAAAAAATCTCGTGTGGCCTGTCTCCCATACCACAGGATGGGACAGACCAGGATCTCAGATATTGCTCACAGATAAAGAATAATCTCCAGGTTGGCCACTACTAGATTTTTTAGCTTGCAAGTGGAGGTTCTTCCTGGGACAGATTTTAAAAGGTTTTGTGTTTTCTTGAATTGTTGGGTTGACAGTTTATGTAAAGGGCCTGATATGTGTGCACATTGATGGTACAGTTGTCTTAGGTAATGAGACGGCTTAGTTGGTAGGGTCTGTTCCTGTTCCGGGTGTGACTGGGTGTGTATAGGCTGCTGAGATGTCCGTTCTCCAGATTTTCATCGGACCATGCTATCCTGGGACCCCAGTTTCACTATTTTCCAAGGTGGGACATGCAGAACCAGACCCTGAAATTGTGGTTCAAGGTGACCAGGCTGAGGCTGCCCTTTAAAAGGCAGAACTGCCAGGTCTGTGTCTTATTTTCCTTGTCACTTTAACATATCTTTTGGCATGGAGACCATAGAAGAGTCTGAGTATGACAGACCTCCACCTAGAACTGGTATTATTTAGACATAACTCTTAGGTGTCAAGGTAGAGTGAGAGAGCTCTCTTCCTGGCACCGTGAGAGCAGACTACAGCACTGTGACCCTTAATCCTTGGTTCATGCAGTCTTCAGAGGAATCTCAAAAACCATAGGATGTGTGGGTTAGAGAAAGAGCTGGCACAAATGACAAGTTGCAGGTGAAATAATTTGAGGCAGGAAGAGAATGGGACCTGCTTGGAACAGTACATACACTGCCTGGCTGCAGCTGAACAGTCAAGTCAGTTCTCTAATTTGGACCTTGTGCCATGGAATTAACTGGCTGACTTCAGCTCTGCTTGGGTGCAGAACTCTGGTTCTAGAACCAAGTGTGCATTCTGGATTCTGGAATTCCAGTTGGGTTTCACAGGCCAGTGGAGTGAGGAGATGCAGGTGGGCCCACAAAAAGTGATTGTGGGTGGGGTTACCACACAAGACTGGTTGCTTCTGTGTCTACACTCACAAGAGAAGGATCTTTTTCTACAAGGCAAGCTCAGGGACGTCTGAGGCTTATGGGAGCCAGTGAAGAAAAAAAAAAAAAAAGTGCTTAAGGTCAGTACTTTGCCTTTCCTGGCTTGTGGCTCTGGGGGCTCAATTTGCTCATCCAAAAAAAAAAAAGGGGGGGGGCATGAAAGCCCTTCAGTGACTGCTCACCCCAATTTTACCAGGCTACTGCACAGCACCCACCCTGCAGCTCCAGGTACAAGCCTGTGCTTCAAAAGGCTGGGGAATCTCTGGACTGAGTTCAGGGTCCTGAGAGGGTTCACCCCTCAGGGACTCTTCATTCCTAGCCCTCTGTGTCCATCTGATTCCTCAGCATGTCTGCTGTATGCCACTCTTATTGTCTCTTCTTCCCAAGCCCATGTCTCTCCAGGTTGGCTAGGGGCACACGCTATCCTGTCCATCCTTCCTCCAGTACAAAGCCTCAGGCAGGGGCCACTCAGGTTTCTTCCTAGAATGTGATCTCAGATTACAGCAGCACATTCTGCTCTAACTTACTGACTAGTTCATCAGTAAGTCACTTAATGTGCCAAGATGGGCTTGGGCCTTGACTCTCTTGATCTCCTTCCTTTACTGGGGCTGTACTGGGGGAGGGGGGTGCCATCTGCTTTCTTTGTGAAAAAAGATGATAGCAGGTGAGGCAGGACTCAAGGGCCAGGGACAGGACAGAGCACCTAGGCTGGCCTCCCCCAAGACTCCATGAGACCCCTGCAGGCAGGAGGGCTCACTGAAGCTCCAGGACCACTTTTTAGGATGGTGCCCATAGCCCCTTCCTGGACTTCCAAGAAGGGCCTACTGTTTCTGCAACCTGCACCATGGTCTTCTGCTTCATTTCCATTAGATGTTCTTCTGAAAGAAATACCTAGGGAACCCTGGGCCTGTGCTGGAGTCTAAGTGGCAAAATCAGTAAGAGAGTCTCAAGAACATAGTTAATTGTTTTTACACTTTTCTGGGCAAAAGGAACTCTGAAATAGTAATGTGCAGAAAATACCATTATTAAGATTTTTATGCTTTACATCATTTTAATTAGGGCATCATACAAACCATTTATTTTCATGCCAATCATTGAATTTTGTTCTTTTTTCAAATTGTTACCTGTTTTAGAGGCAAAATCTTAAATATATGTGACACAAATATTAACAAATGAAAGCAATCTATTTAAAATGTAATTAAATTTCTTAGTAAGTAAACTTAATTTATATTACTTGTATGAATTATTTTATATCTTATCCTCAATCTTAAAAAAAATTTAGCTAGGTATGCAATTCAAATTTGACAGAATTTTTAAATAGGCAACTTTTTTAAAAACATTGTATTGCTGGGCGCGGTGGCTCACGCCTGTAATCCCAGCACTTTGGGAGGCCAAGGCGGGTGGATCACGAGGTCAAGAGATCGAGACCATCCTGGTCAACATAGTGAAACCCCGTCTCTACTAAAAATACAAAAAATCAGCTGGGCATGGTGGTGCGTGCCTGTAATCCCAGCTACTCAGGAGGCTGAGGCAGGAGAATTGCCTGAACCCAGGAGG